CATCCACGCGCGCATTGATTTTCGCCTGTCGCCCTCAAAAAAAAAAAAAAAAGAATCACGTCCACCGAGGCTCTGGCCTGGCTCTAGGCTTGGGTAGTCAGCGACAATACGGAGCCGAGCACACAGGCTATGGAATTTGAAGCTCCGCGACTCAAGAACTCAGTACATAAGTACAGTACCGATTCATAAATGCCGCAAAAAGCCAGCATGTCGTATACGTTGCCAAGTACTGCCGCAAATTCACAATACCAGCTTTGTATTCCTGTGGTTTAGTAGAATTTTTATTTTTGGCAGGAATTTTTTTTTATTCGCCCGCGCGCAGTAGTTTGGGGGTCTTCAGAGGATGTCATCCATAAAATTAAATCGGTGTGGCCTTATCTATCATCAACATCCCAGCATCAGACATATGGCACACAATCAGCAGATTTTCAGGGTACAGGATCGTCTCTAAATCTTTCAGAGGATTTCTGCAAATTTGTGGAAATTTCATCTCCTGTTAGGTCACAGCAGGGGGGATTTTGTCTTTTTGTGATTAAAATCTTTCCCCAAGGGAATCTTAGAATTGATGAATTTTGTATTCACTACTTATTCATGTGATACCTGAATGAGCAGCAAAATGTGCAGTGCAGAAAATATCTTGGAAAAAAACAGCAATCAAAATGGAAAACTGTCAGAATTGTATTTGAGAAAAAGACACTTAACCATAATGTGACCGTTAACAGTTACTGCTTTGAAACAGTTTTTTATGATAAGCAAAGAGAATGTAGACTTGTACTTAATACACCAAGTTAGTCCTGGTGACATGCAGGCTAAAGCAGCTTCTTCCAGAAAATATCATGAAAAAAATGACAAATTAGAACTGGCAGAGTTCTCCTAAAAATTGTATTTGAGAACAAGACTCTTAACCACAATTTGCCTGTTAACAGTTACAGCTTTGAAACAGTTTTATAGAGAATGTAGACTTAACACACTATGTTAGCTCTGTTGACATGCAGGCTAAACCAGCTTCTTCCAGAAAATATTGTGAAAAAAACTACAAATTAGAACTGGCAGAATTCTCCTAAAAATTGTATTTGAGAAAAAGACACTTAACCATAGTGTTAACAGACAGCTTTGAAACAGTTTTATGATAATCATAGAGAATGTAGACTTGTACTTAGTCTAGCTCTGATGACATGCAGGCTAATGCAGCATCTTCCAGAAAATATTGTGAAAAAAAAATTAAAACTGGCAGAATTCTCCTTAAAAATTGTATTTGAGGAGAAGACTCTTAACCACAATTTGCCTGTTAACAGTCACAGCCTTGAAACAGTTCATAAGAATCATAGAGAATGTAGACTTAACACACCAAGTTAGCTCTGATGACATGCAGGCTAAAACCAGCTTCTTCCAGAATCAAACTAGATGACAGATGGATTTCTGACTTTATCATCAAACATGCCACAGTAGCAAACTTCCCTCTCTGTTGTAGCTGTGGAGGCATCATCTATGAAACACAGAGGACTTTATTATTATTCCTCCAGTAGGTGGAAATCCTTGGATGCAAGAGAAATGAGCCTGTCTGTGTGTCTAAGGCCATACCAATTTAATTTGTTGTTTCTCAGATTTTTTCAGAAAAAATATGAAACAACAGGGTGAAAAAAATAGATGTATAATAAGAAAAACAGGTCTAGGCAACCTATTATAGCCTGTAAAATTCTACGATAGGATCTATGAAGTTAACACAAAAGGATGTATACTAAATTAGTATTTAAACAAGGAATTTTAAACTTTTAATCAAACAGTACATTTTAGATGGAAAAACTGTTACATTTAGGAAGAAAAGGACTTTCCTCAACAGTTGGCCATTTTTTAGTTGATTCTGAACCAGAATCTTTTTTTCTTTTGCAAATCAGAACAAATGAAGAGGCAAATCCAAGAACCAACAAATTAAATTGCTGTGGCCTTATTATTATTCCTCCCGTAGGCAGAAATCCTTAGCTTGGATACAAGAAAAATGACTCTGTCTGTATGTCTGACTAATAAGCGAGAGACTCCATACTGCAGAGGCTATGTGTCTCAGTCTTACGTCTGTGGATGTGACACTTGAGAATTCATTTCAAAAGGGTGCGTCAGCTGAACTTGTCCGTTGTGCAGAATACACGATGACAGAGCATTTTTCCTAAAGGTTGTGATGACGTGCAGGGCTTGAAATACTGGGTGCTTGTGCACCTTAGCGCACCCAAAATTGCAGCTGTGCACCCAAATTTTTCTACTAGGTATTTTTGTACATATCAACAGTTATAGTATGCAGGATATTGTTGGCATCTAAGTGTCAGAAAATAATAAAATCTTTGATGAAGTACTTGTTTAAGATTTTGAACTTAGCTCCCATTTCAGATTCAAGCTTAGAAGAGGAGCAGTAAGGTCTGTTATTAGTTTTTGTTTTATATGGTGCACCCAAGAAAATTTTTGTACACCTATTTTTTTTAGGTTGGGTGCACCAGTGCACCTATTCCCAAAAATGAATTTCGAGCCCTGGCATTTTTCCTAAAGGTTGTGATGACGTGTAACATCACCATCTCCTGGGGTTATCTTGGCAAGGAAGATGCTGAATACGGCTTGGTTGTGACATTTGAGTCATACCTGCAGAAAAGTTTGAAGTTCAATCCGCTTCCATGTCTATTATCTGTCATCATAAGGTTCTCTTTAATTGGCCATGAGACTGGTAGGATACAGCACGTCAGCAGAACGTACAGCACCTGCGCGAAACCCGTAGTGTATTATACATAGCACTTCGGTAGAACGTCTCATATAAGGTTGTATTCGCGCGTATAAGGTTAACATCTCGTCTGTAGTTTCCAAATGTTATGTTGGAAAAGATAATTTTTTTTTTAATATTCCTCTGCAACAGGCAAAATTTCAATGCAACGTTGACCAAAAATCCACCGAAAACCGTGAAAATGTAGGGTTCTGCGCAGGCGCAGTACGTTCTGCCGACGTGCTGTAGGATACAGTTATTGTAACTCTATAAATTTGTTAATTTTCCATCAATTGGTTGATTAGATTATGGTAGTTTCTAGTGTTTTTGTGCTTTTCAAAAAAATCTGTAAATGAACAAATTTTTCATACTTATTGGCCATGAGACTGGTAGGATGCAATTATTGTAATCTTTAAATTTGTGCATTTTCTATTGGTTGAAGATAATGTTAGTTTCTAGTGTTTTTTGTGCTTTTCAAAAAAATCTGTGAAGGAACAAATTTTTCATATTTATTGGCCATGAGACTGGTAGGATACTGTACAGTTATTGTAACTCTTTAAATTTGTGCATTTTCCATCAATTGGTTGATTAGATTATTTTACTTTCTAGTGTTTTTGTGCTTTTCAAAAAATCTGTAAATGAACAAATTTTTCATACTTATTGGCCATGAGACTGGTAGGATACAATTATTGTCATCTTTAGATTTGTGCATTCTCCATTGATTGAAGATAATGTTAGTTTCTTACGACTAGTGTTTTTGTGCTTTTCAAAAAAAATCTGTAAATGAACTAATTTTTCATAGTATTGATTTTAAATTGCATATTACTGTGACTGGGCTTGGCACAAACAATTGTCATACATAACACGTATCACAAATTTGTATAACATCCAGAGCAGTACAGCTCATTTGATGACATCATTTTGCTTCAATAATGCCTTACCTTTTTAGCATCCTAAAAACATGAAATGATAATTACACATTTGATTGATGACTTGTCATATTGATTATGGTACAAATCACAGAATTCCCAAGGCCTAGGATCGTTAAAGGCATCCAATGCAGTTTTTAGGGCTTTGAAACCCGATTTTTCAAAGTCAATATTCTATTCACTTAATATCTACATACTGAGTTGAAACCACACTATCCCAATGTATATTGACCCTCAGGAGCAAAAAATGCCTAAAATTCTGACAGAAAACGGTTACTGGAAGGACCCTTGGATGATTTTTAGGGTGTGCATCACCCATTCATGTAAAAAAAAAAGGACTCATCTTGGGGCTTGTTTGTGCAGTTTTAAATACCCAAAGTACCGGTAATTGAAATGACATTGTGCTAAATGAAGCAGTACATGTCAATATTATAAACTTAAGATTGCCTTAGTCAGAATATTTCCAGCTTCGCTGCTCTAAAATGGCATTGGATGCCTTTAAACTTACTGGAAAGCTTTCATACATACATTATGTTTAGCTCACTATTATTATATAACAATTTGCTGACAGTAATTTCTCTTCTAAAGAGCTTCTCTTCCTGGCGCTGAGAGATTTATGTACGCTGAAGTGTTTACCATTTAGCAACAAACATATTACTTAGGCTACACGCTACACCAATTTAATTTGTTGGTTCTCGGATTCGCCTCTTCATTTCTTCAAAAAAAAAATTTCTGGTTCTGAATCAACTCAAACCTGCTCCTATTGTGCCCCCATAAGTTGAGGAAAGTCCTTTTCTTCCTAGTTCTACAGTTTTTCCATATCTCAATGCAGTGGTTTGATTAAAAGTTCAAAGTTGTTTAAATATCAACCCAGCCTTTTGTGTTGACTTCATGGCTCCTATTGTAGCATTTTGTGCTATAATAGGATGCCTACATGTAGCCCTGTTGCTTCATATTTTTTTCAAAAAAAAATCTGAGAACCAACAATCAAATTTGTGTGGCCTAAGCACTTTCAAATGATTGTCTCCCTACTTGCTCCTCCCAGCACCCTACCATACTCTTGCACCTCTAATGAAACCATTCCCAGCATGTGGGGAGTTGAATTGCTTCCCATTGGAGCATTCCAAACCAACCCGTGTGTCATTTCTGTTTGCGTCGCACATTTTCATGCTGATTTCAAAGCTCCTTTGACGTCAGTGTTTCTAGCATGGAAATGTTGTATCGCGGGGGAAAGCCAAAATAACAGGCAAGGAAATGGGTCTGGGTCGTTCAAGGCATTTGAAGTTAGCTCGAGTCCCCGTCGTGCATAAATGGAACAGTCTGTCGGGTTTGCAATTCATGAGCTTTCTGAGCGTAGGAGTCTCCCCGAAACTCATGGCTGCATAACAGGTGCATGCAGCACTCAGTTCTATTATGACCATTCTCCTTCAAGTTGTTATATAATCTTTATTTTCGCTCACATAGATTTGTGCTCAACACACAAAAAGAAGTACTACATGTAAGTAGCAAGTGACTTTTATTTTCTTCCTGTAGAATCACTACTAACAGGAAAAGCATCGGAGGGTTGGAGGTTCTCTTGTTTTGCCGGTACCCGAGAGTGGCAGTGACGGGACGCAGTCATGGATTCGGAGGCGACTGAAATGGAGGAGAAGAAATACATCATAGAAAAGTCACAGGTAAGCTGGCATTTACTTACTTGATAAGGCCACACCAATTTAATTTGTTGGTTCATTGATTAGGCCACACCAATTTGATTTCAAATTAATGGTTCTCAGATTTTTTCAGAAAAGATATGAAGTGATAGGGAAAAAAAAAAAGTAGATAGATAGATGGAAACAGGTCTAGGCATCCTAGATTATAGACCCAAATGCTATGAAATGAGCCATGAAGTCAACACAAAAGGCTGAGTTAATGTTTTAACGAATTATGAGCTTTTAATCAAACCACTGCAGCAGCATTGATAGATGGAAAAACTGTAACAACTTGGAAGAAAAGATGCATGATACCACAGTACTGGACGTAGCTCAATTATCTTGCATGCTTTAAAACATACAGAGCAAAGTACCATGACACGAAATCGAATGCTCTTTGCTTTAACTGATAAGTCTCTTATCTAAATAAACCTGATATCTAAAGCCGAATCAGATCACACAAATTACCATCCAGTCAGAATCTATAAGCTCTAATTTGCCATCATTTGAATCAAGTGGTTTTATTGGGTGCACTTCAAAGATGGCTTTTTATGTTAGCCACGGCATATGATGATTTGTCCATCAGTCAATATAGTTCTAATGACAGCTTTGTGCTGTGGTGTGGGCCAGGCTAGGCTACTAAATTATGTATTTCGTTGGCCTTTAATGCGGTGGAAAATTCCACCAATTTGGGAACGGATTAGCCCTTTCTTGCACCATTTGAATGATAAATTTAATTACAGAACAATCAACTTTAAAGACTTGTGGTTTGGATGAAGTCAGCTGTACATGTGTAAAAAAATCGCTATGACCATCGTCATGATTTTCCCTAATTTTTGTATTCTAAGACTTGTAAATTAAAAAATTCCAGCATAAAATACAATTTTACAGCTCAATATGTCAATTGTTTTGATTTTAAATCCACTGTACATGGATATTCCCTGTATAGTATTTGCAAGAAAAGAGTCACTGAATTATGAATACAGTATTTCAGATTCAGTCCCGATATTACCGACTTATGTATATTTTATAAATTTTGCAAAGAGAAAATTCAACCCCTTAAGAGAATTCATGCCAGATAGAAATTGATAGTGGATAGTATGAGAAAGAATGATGATGCACTTAATAAGTCTATCAGATATGTTTAAATACATTTTGAAATTAGCTTCTTTTGCCTTAAGCTAAAGTCTTGCTGGGCTACGATACTTTTATGGATTCAGATGATATATTAGACAGGATTGTGAAACAGCTAACTTCAAGACATGACTAGTAGATTTGGTTTCACATGGGTCAAAAAATATTTTAATTTACAAAATGTAGATAATGCTGCTGACTAATTTGGCATTCTTCATAAATCTCCTTGATGACTCATATTTTACAATATATAGTATTTGGCTCACAGTTTACCTAAAATCAATACTTAGGACTGCATACTAAGTCATCAAAGCATTGAAGATTCAATTTTTGCTGTTAGTGTCATTGTAACTGAGCTCCATCAATATGGATTCATTTGGTCAATCAATAAATATCCCAAGCACTTTCTTTTACATAAAAAACCTGCTGCAAAGATAGCAAACTTTAAGAATGAACTTTTACTAAATTTGACATCAATGAAAACTGCCAGTCATGGCTGCTGATACATATGTTATCTTGTACTTATTTCATACCAAATTGAATATGAAGTCCCAAAGATACATGATTTGATTTGATTTGACTCTGTACCATTTTGTATTCTGATGTCTTTCTTTTGTTGGTGCCTTATATGGCCATTTGGGCTGAGTGGGGTATAGTCTCAAGACACAATGATATTTGATACTTTCATTCATTCATTCATTCATTTATTCATTTATTTATTTGTTGAGAGTTGTATTTATTCATTTATTCATTAATTAATTCATTCATTCATTCATTCAATTCATTCAGGGAGATTTTGAAATTTAAATTGGACGTGATTTTCTGAGCCTCCGAAGTGTGTATGACTTGTCCGAGTCACTAGAGTGCCAGCCAGACTATATCTCAAGCTGGTTTAACATTGTAACCTCACTAGAGCTTAGTGCTGCAGTAACACAAGGGCTTTACTGCAGCAGTAATGCCATACTCCTGTCCTCAGCCTCTGTAATTTGTGTAATACAAACTTTCTGCAATTCAGGGAGTTTTATCCCTGCTGCATGTAAGGTTTACTTTTGTGTGTGAGGAATAGATAATCTAAATTGGGCAGTCATCAGTGAGTTTCCAAAGAAGGTGATTTTCTGAGCCTCCGATGTGTGGATGTCTGAGCCTTAGTAGTGCTTTACTGCATCAGTAATGCCACACCCCTGCCCTTGCCTTCCCTGGCCTTCTTAACCCCTGACATGACCCACCCTGACACCCTCTAAGACCTGAGCCTGATTCATGTTGAAAGCATTGTCGTAAGGTTCCAGTGTTTTACAGGTCTGAGTGCAGGGTAAATTACAGACCGTACATCCCTGCCACTGCTGCTCCCTTTTATCCAAAAGTACAGTGTGTGGGCACCTTTAAAGCAATATTATGTACATTGTAAGATTTTTGAGCCAAAACTGTGTGGGTAGTGATCCAACTTATACAATTATACAGTTTAACAAACTTAAGTTAAACTTGCATGAGGACATTTCCAGTGTACAACATTTCATCACTCAGATGTCAGATCATGGAGCTAGAAAAGGTTGATCAGCTGGAAAAATTTATATCCTTTGCAACGAAGGGTCCACCAAAAAAAAGGTTAAGGGTCAGCAGTTTTTTCTAGGGTCGTTTGGGAAACGGGAAACACAACTTTTTTTCCTAGACCTAACAATATCTCAGTCTTGGTTTTGCCATCACATAATGTATAGAAACTGGATCAGGGCATGACATTATAGAGGATGATGACAAGTGCTAAGGATTGACATATGAAGACATGCTGGTAATGCCGTAGGAAAATTAATTTCAGTACAGAACAAGGTATTACTTTGAGGAAAGAAGATTTCCCTTGTGGTTAGATCAGAATGTACCCAGAAGTTCAAGGAAAATGTCAAGCAATAGGAGTCAGGGCAAACCATGATCTTAGTGATCATAGCAGAACCAGGTTCATATTTTAGCCAAAGTACATGTCCCACAAGTTGGGGGTTGTACATCAGATTCTGTATTCTTTTCCAATTAAGACATAGTCGTATCCATATAAAGCTCTCTGACTTAACACTGTCTCATAACCCCATTATGAGAAAACGAAATGTCAACAGCTTGGGGGTAAAATTCCAATTCCAGTTTCCCCACAGGCTATAGAAAATTGAGCTTGATCTATGGCATTGCTTCCAGACTGCGCTGTACTTCCAGGGAAATCATCAGAGTCTGGTTAGATCAGAGCCGATTGAATCAGGCCACAAATTCAAACATCAAACAAACACGCCTCCAAAAACCGTCTGGGGGGATCTGGCGCGCTCGATTGACAAATCCATATTCAGGAACTGCATTATTTGGGCTTAATCAGGTAAAGTAGTCTGAGTGATGGATAGCAGCAGTGCTAACAGTTCATTGGCCAGGCTGGATGGGTGCTCGGTTTATAGAACAGGAAATGAAAGAGACAATTTGTGGGCCTTTTGTGTGCAGATTGTTCAATACGAATTTCTGTGATTACAAAATTACTATCGATAAGTGCTTCACTAAATGTACAATTGTATTAACATTAATTTTATCATTCTATTGTCTGGTAAAGTCAACTTTTATACAAAATAATGTACATCAATACGGTGGATCACTTAAGAGATCACTGAAGTCTAAACAAGAGAAAAGAAAAAAAAAAAGATAACCCCTACCTACCAACACTATTTTTTTCAGGACTGAAACAGGAAACACAACATTTTTTTTCCTATGCCTTATGCATACAGCCTGTAGTTTACACTGTACTCACATTTTTTTCCTAGGTCCCAGATAGATGAACCATCTGGGTAGTGCTGCATACCGGTTCACTGGACTTGGATCCAGACTTGTAAGAATGTTTAGGTTCAAGTCCAAAAAACTTAAACCTAAAAGTCAAGAACCGAGTCCGGACTTATTACCATAAAAGACCATTTCACATACCCCTTTTCTTTTCGTTACAAGTCCGGAACTGAACCTAAACCTCTGGACTTGAATCCGGACCTGAACCTAAAATTGGGTTTAGGTACAGTTGTATGCATCACTACATCTGGGCTACCAAAAAGTTTGCAATGTAGTAACTGAAGGAAGAATCCTGCATCCACAGCCACAAGGAAATTACTCAGAGCATGATATAAAGTACAGGCAGATTTTATTGACAGACGACTCTGTAATTTTCGAGTAATTGCATCAGTTCAAGGATTCATTACAAACCTGATAAAAGACATTTCACAATCAATGCATGCAGCAATATCCAGAAGTTACTGCAGTCCTAGTTCCAGTGAATGAATCTTTATTGCATATTTCTGCCCAGATGGGCTAAATGTGTTAGCTGGTGTGTTACGCCGAAAGGCGGTTATACCGGCTATACAGATACAGAAGCTGGTGTGTTACGCCGAAAGGTGGTTATACCAGCTATACAGATACAGAAGCTGTTGTGTTACGCCGAAAGGCGGTTATACCGGCTATACAGATACAGAAGCTGGTGTGTTACGCCGAAGGGCTGTTATACCGGCTATACAGATACAGAAGCTGGCGTGTTACGCTGAAGGGCGGTTATACCGGCTATACAGATACAGAAGCTGGTGTGTTACGCCGAAAGGTGGTTATACCGGCTATACAGATACAGATACAGAAATGCATATCACCAAAAGTGGTCTAGAGGATATAAAACAAGGAGTATTGAATACTGAACCACTACATTCTAATGCTACAAGTCTAAAGTATATTACAACAATACAATATAATGATATGAATCTTTATTGCATGTTCTTGCCCAGATGGGCTAAATGCACAAGAGGATATGCAGTAGGCAAAACATGAGTATTTCATACTGTAACGCTATAAATGTAAAGTGC